AAAGATGACAAGACACAAATACATAATACTATATGATTCCACTCACATAAAACGTCTAGAGCAGGCAAACCCACACAGAGAAACAAACTCGTGCTTACTCTATACTGAGCAAAAAAAAAAATAGAATGAAGATTACAGTACGTTGAAAATAGTCCCCAAAATATCAAATTCTAATCCCAGAAAACTATATTACTTTATTTGCAAAAAGGGTCTTTCAAGATAAGACCAATGATCTTCAGATGAAGGAATTCATCTGGATTGTACAAGTGGCCCCTAAATGTCATGTGTCTTTATAAGAGAAGCAGAGGGAGATTTCACAGGTATATTAGGAGAAGGCGATATGAGAATGGAGGCAGAAACTGAAGTAACATGGTTTCAAGCAAAAGAATGTCATGTTCACAAACTAGAAGAGGCAAAGAATGACTACTCTGTCAGAGTGTCCAAGATGAGGACAGCCATACCAATATATCCACCTTTGAGTGGGTGGTGTGGTGGGGGAAGAGGTTATTGAAGATTGAAACCAGGGGCATTTTACCACTGAACTATATCTCCAGTCTTTTTTATTTTTTGAGACAGGGTCTCACTATGTTGTTGAGGCTAGTCTAAGCTCACAGCCTCCTGCCTCGGCCTTCCAAACTGCTGGGATTATAGGAATGAGCCAACACACCTGACTCATCTTGACTAAGGTGCAGTGAAACTGGTTTTGGACTTCTTGTCTCCAGAACTAAAGAAGAATAAATTTTTGTTAGTAATTTTCTTATAACATCCAAAAGAAAGTAATAAAAGAAGTGACTACTTAATAATGGTCTTTTAGATTGAAAAAATGTTTTAGAATTAGGTACTGTTGATGGCTGACCTCTATACAGTGAATCTTACAGGACATTATCTCTTGATTAAAGGAAAACATGTCTAGCAATAAACTGGTGTGACCCCACCACCCAACAACTGATAGTAAATTTTCAAAGCTCCCTCGAAGACCCCATTCATAACTTAGGTAATTAAGATTATAGTAATGATGCAAGCCAATCTAGCCAACAAATATACTTAAGCTAGTATCAAGTAGCATCAATTCATAAATCTGCATTCCACCTGGAATAGTTATATTTCGCAGAGTAAACAACCTATTATAAAGGACTTGGAGGACCAAATTAGTTATGAGTAGGGTTATCATATATCTTGGTTTGACTATATGAGTCCCAATTTAACCTGTTTTGTATATATTTTAATAATCCCATTTTTCATTCATTTTTAAAAAGTACATCAGTTTAGATAATAAATTCAACTTAGTTATAGAGATTCTGGATATTGTAAAATTCATGAAAGCACATTCCACACAGATGCCAGATGGGCCCTGTCATGAATCCCTATGTATCTTTTAGCTCTCTAATACTGGGAAGTCCCCACGCAGAAAAATACTAGTAAGACTTCTTGGGAGTATCCACATTTTTCTTCCCCCAAACTTACATAATACCATTAGGAAGTCAAAAGTTGAAAGTTATTATTTTTTGACATACTGAACTGATCTTAAGGCAATACTCCTGCTTTAGAATTCCCGATCAAAACACAGAAAGGAGGGAGAGATGGGGAATTTTTTTATTTTTTTCTTGAAGAATTTAGGAAGAAATTGTTACTCTATGGAAGGAGATCATAATGGATTCTGTGTGTGGTTAAGTATATAAAGTCAGGGACTGGAGACGCAGCTCTGTGGTAGATGGCTTGCCTATCATGTGTGAAGCTCTGGGTTCAATCTTTAGTACTGAGGAAAAAAAAACTGACATAAGTTTGGTAATGTTTGATGTTCATTGCTTTATGGTGAACCATCATTATAAAATGTATTGAATCAGTAGAATTAAAACATATTCCTGTCTAAAAGACTGAGAAACAGAAATAATACAAACAATGATATAAAGCATTTAGTTTTGATAAGTCTCTTGACCAAAGAGAAAAGGTGGAGGGAAGAATCAAGGTGGTGTTTAAGAAGAATCGAAGTACATCATTCATTCAACTAAAATTTGGTGAGTTGATTAACAGTCAAGAGCTAGTATAAAAATGTATCAGTGATCCAAACAAAAACCCTCTCTTCAGGGAGCTAATTTTCTGTTAGAATTAATCAGTAAATAATAATTTTTTTAAAAAGATGGTTATCTATATGCTAGTGAGAAAAAGTAGGAAATGAAGGCAGGTTGATATTTATAGGACATGGTTAGGAGTATTTGGGAAACAGTATTCTAGAAAAGGAAAACAACACAAAGGCTAAGAAGGAGTACTTAACACATGTTAAGAACTAGTCAAGAAGATAACAGGAAAGCCAATGATAGATAAGGGAGACAAGTTAATAGATGAGGCTTTTTAAATGTGCATTTGTGGTCAATGACAATTACAGGAACTCAGATCATATGGGCCATTCTAAGTTCTCTGGCTTTTACTGAGTGTGATGAGAGACTGCTGAGATTTTTAATGGTGTGACTTTCATTTCAACAGGATTGTTCTGGCTGGTGTATGGAGAAAAGACTTTAGAGAATAACAGTGGAAGCAGAACACAAGAAGCGGCTGAAATAAAACAGACAAAAGATAATAATAGTAACAGGATGGAGAAATAAAGATACTAAGGAGTCAAGATTCTAGATAAAATCTTGAAGGGTCACAGATTTGTCTGATAGACTGCACATGAGACATGAAAGACAGGACATATAAGTGATGATGTTGTGCCAGCAAATCTATGAGCAGAATTCAGAGAGATATGGAGAAGACATCCAAATTTTGGAATCTTCAATCTGTAGCATTATCTAAAACACAAGTCTGATGACATAACCCAGGGGAAGAGTCTAAAATCCAAATCCTGAAGTATTCCACTTTTAGAGGTCATAAAGAAAGAACAGCAAAGGAGATCAAGAAGCAGTTAATAACCAACTGGGTAGGAGATGAATCAAAAATGTGAAGCATCCAGAATTCAAATAAAAAAATTTTTTAGGAAGGAGGAAATGAATCTGATAAATGCTGCAGGTAGATCAAATAAATCAACTAAAACTAACCACTGGATTAAGCAATGTGGAATTCATTGGTGATCTACACAAGAGTGGGTTAAAGAGAGAACTGGAGGGCCAGATTCTGTGACACGCCTGTAATCCCAGCTGCTCTGAAGGCTAACAGTTCAAAGCTAGCCTCTGCAAAATCGAGTCACTAAGCAACTCAGTGAGACCCTGTCTCTAAAATATAAAATAACATTGGGGATGTGGCTGGTGTCGAGCACCCCTTAATTCAATCCCCTCGAGGTACCACCGCCCCCTGCCAAAAAAGATTGGGAGAATAGAAAATACAGACAACCTGAAATTTTCCTAAAAAGGAAAATTTACTTTCTTATGGACAAGCAAATATGAAATAAAATAAATAAAAGGGAACATAGCATCAAACAACAGATTCCCAAGGAGAAGTGACAGTAAAATCAGTATGTTTGCTATTAAAATTATCCAAAGCAACAGAAAACTTAACCCAAGAAAAAGAGGAGACTTGTTGGAACAATATGCTGAATAAATAAGTACACAAGTCTTTGTTTCATCCATTGTAACAAAATGCCAGAAATCATATGGAGAACAACTGGAATGGTGGATAAACAGGTACAAGAGCCAGCCTCTCTCATGGCCCCAGGTGAACCCCACCTCCTTGTATTCACACTGTTCTGCAGCCCTTTCCCACAATGTAAAAGGTTGGCCTGTGCAGAAAACACACATAGAAGAAATGATGGGGCTGGGGATGTGGCTCAAGCGGTAGCACGCTCACTGGCAAGCGTGAGGCCTGGGTTCAATCCTCAGCACCACATACAAACAAAGAAGTTGTGTCTGCTGAAAACTAAAAAATAAATATTAAAAATTCTCTAAAAAAAAAAAAAGTTAAAAAAAAAGAAGAAATAATATGTCTCTTCAGATATTAAGTTACAAAAAAGACACTGCTTCATCTTAGGTACAAGCTCTCCCAAATTAACTCACTCTAAGGGAAGCCAACTGGTATGACATAAGCAGCCCCATGGACAGGTCCAATGAGTAACTGAGACCTCTTGCCAAGTAAGAGATTAGAAGCAGTTCATCTAATTCTAGTCAAGCCTTCAGAGACTGCCAATCTAGTCAAAAGTTTAACTGTAGCCTCATGAGAGCCTAAGCCAGAATTGCCAGCTAAGCCACTTTTGGATTCCAAACATTCAGAAATTATGATGTAATAAAAATGTGTTATTTTAAGCAACTAGGTTTTGAGATGGTTTGTTAAAATAGATAACTAGCTAATACAATGGTTCTGAGTTGTATTCACAAATCTGTGGGCACAGAATTTACCTATTATCTTGCCTACTGACCTGGAAAAAAGTCTGTTAACCTCCCCTGTCAAGTCACATACAATTTACCTAATGAAATACAGTCTTTAAGAAAAAGAGTATAAGTGAGTTTGGTGGCACATGCCTATAATCCCAGCTAGTTGGGAAGTTGAGGTAGGAGAATCACAAGTTCCTGGCCAGAGTTAAATCCTAACTCAATACAAAAATAAAAAGAATGGGCAATGTAGCTCAGGGATAGAACAACCCTATTCAATCCCCAGTACAATTAAAAAAAAAAAATTAAAAAGTATAGTAATGAACAAGTTAACTCCACTTTAACAAATAAAAAATTTTCCCTAAATGACCCATTTTAATGCATTAGCTGAAATCTTAGGGTATGTGTACCAACCCATGTTAGCCTCACAACATAAGTCAGCCTTACATAGCTCTAACTCTCTATGGTGCTTACTTTTTCAAGAAATGAAGTGAAAGAATGCTGCAGCCACCACATTCTCCTTTAAGAAAGCAATTTAGAGGGCTCCAGAATATTTAAATCAACAATCGCCTGAATTTATCATATACATTCAGATTCCCTCAAGAAACTCTAAACAGTAAGTTTTAGCACAGGAAAGAATGAAAAGGAAAATTTAATTGAGAAAAGAAACAACCTTGGTCCTTATGATACAGACTTCAATCTTACCTCAAATGTACACTGAAACTTTTTAAGAACTTGAATCGTCCAAGGAGAAGGTCACATCCTTAAGGCAACCAGAGAGAAGGATTAAGGTTACTTCCATGTTTCAAGGATATTTAATATCCTGTTGCCGACTTAAGATTGCCATTTAGATGTTTATTAACCATCTCATATCTAATCAGAAAAGAGAAATCAATTACTTTCCCCCAAATCTATTCCTCCTGTCTACCTTAACACCCCCATCTGTAAACTGCCCAAATTAATAATGGCTCACTGGGATCCAGTGGGCTGCATTAGCCGTCCAGAAGGCCCACAGTAAACAAACAAACAAGAAAAATAAAGAGGCACTGCGATATAGCAAGGAGTCCAATAAACGGAATTTTAAAAAGGTTGAGACACACTAAGGGTTCAGGGCCTGCAGATATACAGAATGGGGGGTGGGGCTGGAATTACAAACTGGTTTATGATTTTTAAACACCAAAATTAGGCTCCACAAGAGACCACTGCGGGGCAGGGGAGAAAAGACAAGGCAGGAGGAGTGTGTACAGGCCCCTTCCTCAGGAGGCCTCGCTGGGCCAGGCACCAGGGTGGGGGAGTTCCGCGGGGTAAGGGGAGACCGACTGAAAGAGGCGCCTAGTCAAGTTATGGAATGGAATGTGTGAGGCGGCGTGGGGCCCACTGGGTCCCCAGCCCCTCACGCCTTTTGGAAGACTTCGGCACTGAAAAGGCCTCTTGGGCGGCGCAAGGCCACCGGACGCGGTGTCCGAACCTGGGGGGCTGCAGCGGTGGATTCTCCCTCCCGTTTCCCCTCAGGGAAAGCTCGAGCCGCGCTACTCCACCAGCCTTACCGGCGCTGATCAGTGGCGTCCCCGTGAAGCCGGCCAAGAAACAGCCCCGAACACGCTCCCTGGGCAAAACCCGCAGCCACACCACCTCTTCAGGCCCCAGGGTCCACCACCGCCGCCAACGCCACAGACGTCTCCACACGCGCGTCCAGGGCGACCTGTGATTGGCTGCCAGGTGCGGCGAGCTCGGTCGGCTCGGCTCCAGGCGCTACAATTTGATTGGTCACGAAGTGCGGGTTCTGCGCATGCGCGCACTCTGGTGCCCCTGGTGGCTAATGGGCACGTAAGGTCGGGCTGAGGAGTATCAGGCCAAGGTTATGGCTGTAGCCCTGAAGTTCTGGGATGTTGGACCATCCAGGTTCTAAAGCCAGCCAAAGCTCAGCGCTGGGGTTGGGCTCACAGTGAACTCAGATATAGTTTGCCTTCATTGTCATTATTCCAGGTGTGGTGCCCTTTCTATAAAAGCACTGGCTAACTGTCCCAGGCATAAGAAACTTGACCAAGCAACTGAATCTTGAATCTCATGTTGTATCCGGAGCTAACCTGCCAACTGTGTTAATATAGTTTACAGTGACCTAAAAAGAGATTTTACTATTTTTTTCTAACTGGATGAAAACAACAAACAATATCATTTTGTGGCATGAGAAAATTATATAAAATCCAAATTTCAAGTTTTATAGGAATACAACATACCTATACCTCCAGGTATTGTCTGTTTCCTAATAAGACAGAAAAATTTATTAATTGTCAGAGACTATATGAAATATTTACTATCTGGTCCTTTACCAAAACAAGTTTGATGCTGGATACAGTGCTGGTGCACACCTTGTAATCCCAGCAACCCAGGGGGCTGAGGCAGGAGAATGGAAAGTTCAAGGCCAGCTTAGGCAACTTAATGAGACACCTCCCTCCCCTGTTTCAAAAAAAATAAAAAGGGCTGGAGATGTAGTACAGTGGAAGCTGTACTTTTGGATTCAATCCCCAGTATTAAGTGGGGGTGGAGTAGTTTGCCCATTCTTTGATCTATTTGCAGGGTTTTATCAGTTCTGCTACAAGTTTATCTATTTCAGTAATTTTTTTGTGTGTATGTTTTTGATATTTTTTTGAGAGAGAGAGAGAGAGAATATTTTATTTTTTGTAGATGAACACAACACAATGCCTTTATTTTTATGTGGTGCTGAGAATCGAACTGGGTCCCGCCCATGCTAGGCAAGAGCTCTTTCCCTGAGCCACAATCCCAGCCTTGTTTTTGATTTGTTGTTGTTGTTGTTTAATTGGGGAGTGAACCCAGGGATACTCTACCACTGAGCTACATCCTCAGCCCTTCTTAGTTTTTATTTTGAGACAGGATCTAAGTTGCTGAGGCTAGCCTCTCAGTAATCTTTTTTTAAAGGTTTTGGTTTTATTTATATGTTACCTTCTCCATTTATTTCTTTCACTCTTATTATTTCCTTCCATCCTGTCTCTACAAGGATGTGTTGCTCCTCTTTATAATTTTTTTAGGTAAATGCCTAACTCATTTGTTTGCAAAATCCCTTTTATTTTCCTAGCATGTAGTGCTGTAAATTTACCTTTACTAATTTAACTGTGTCCCACAATTTTGGTATCATAATATATTAATTTTCCTTCAATTCCAAGGAAGTCCTAATTTCTTTAGTGATTCTCACTTTTTTAACCTAGGAGGTTATAGAGTAATGTGTTAAATTATTTTAAAAATCTACAGGGGCTAGGGATGTGGCTCAAGCGGTAGTGTGCTCGCCTGGCATGCGTGCGGCCCGGGTTCGATCCTCGGCACCACATACCAACAAAGATGTTGTGTCCGCCAAGAACTAAAAAATAAATATTAAAAATAAAAATAAAAATAAAAATCTACAGGATTTTAAAATACTATCCCTTTACTGTTCAGTAGACTATACCATAGTCAAAATGAAGAGATCATAGATGTAGAAGAGATATTTACAATGTTTAAGATGTATGTATGTGAAATTATCTTTTGACTGCACAATAATGCCAGTATTGATCAATAAAGACTATTATCTAAACTCTGGGCTTCAAATTTCACTAGTTTTTTTTTTTGTTGTTGTTGTTGTTGTTTTGTTTTTTTACTAATACCCTTTTTCTCTTTCTGATTCCCATCCAGGACAATGAATTGCACTTAGTCATCCTGTTCCTTTATCTTTTCCAGGTCTGAGACAGTTTCTCAAACTTTCCTTATTTTTCAAGATCTTGACAACTTTAAGGAGTAAAGGTGAGATACTTTTCAGAATGTATCTCAGTTTGGGTTTAATGCTTTTCTTGTGGTTACACTGGGTTTTTAGAAGAATATGAAAGACATGATGTGCCCTTCTCACCAAATCTTAGGGATACATGCCATCAATGGGACTTGTTGGTTTCTCCTTGGTAAAGTTGCTTTCTTTCCCCTTCATACACTATTCTTTGGAAATTCTGGCTAACTGTCCCAGGCATAAGAAACTTGACCAAGCAAATGAACCTTGTACCTCATGTTTTTGAAGTCGCATCCAGAGCTAGCCTGCCAACTGTGTTGATATAGCTTACAGTGAACTAAGCCATTAAATCCTGCCTACGCCCAGGACAGGGCATGAGGCCTCCTTGAGGGAAGAGTACATACATTACTTGAAGTTCTATTGTAAAAATGATTCTTTTAATTTTAAATTAATCAAAAATAAATATTTTTAAATTCAATGCCTCAGTCATAGTAGCCACATTTCTATAGCTCAGTAGCCACATGTAGCATATTGGCAAGAGCAGATGCAGAACATTTCCATCATTACAGAAAGTTCTACAGACAGCAGACTTAAATCATTAATTTCTCAACCTTTCTTCTTTCTAAATATAACCATTCTTCAGTGTTCATGGGAAATTGTTTCCAGAACTCCATGCAGATGCCAAAATCTGTGGATGTTCAAGTCACTTATATAAAATGATGTAATATGTGCTTATAACCTAAAAAAAAAGCTCCTAAATTCTTCATATTATCTCTAAATTTTTTATAATACATATTGCTATGTAAATACTATATTTTGTAGGGAATGATGGTGAAGAAGAAAGTCTCTATGTGTTAAATACAGATGCAATTTTTTAAATATTTATTTCTTTTAGTTGTACACAATACCTTTGTTTTTATTTATTTATTTTTATGTGGTGCTAAGGATTGAACTCAGGGCCTTGCATGCTCTAGGCAAGTGCTCTCTACCACTGAACCACAACCCCAGCCCCATACAGATGCAATTTTTTTCCAATATTTTCAATCCAAGGTTGATTGGATCCATGGGTACAGAATCCACATGTACAGAGGGCCAACTATACATGTATTTAGAGATAAATGTCTATGAATTGCTTTAGTTCCATCACATAAATTTTGTGATTGTATTCAACATTATTGAGTTCATCATTTTCCCTTTTCCACTGAGATTTCTTAAAGGAGCTCTGGGCTATTTATATTGAGGACCAGGACTAAGGTAAAATAAGCAAGGATCCCAGAGCACAACATTAAGGAGGCACTCACTCACAGGTTCCTAGAACCTGTCACTTTTGCCCATTAGGCTCCTGTTTGCTTCAACCTAGTCCTAGTTCAATTTAGCTGTATTGTCAAATTTCCAGATTTTAGGAGTTTTATAATGATCTTTCTGTCATTAATTTTTAGCTCAATCTCTCTACAGTCCGTGGTAGCTACAAAAAGCCCTACAACTAATATCATAATTAATGGGAAATTATTGTATCTGAATTTGAGAACAGGGCAAAGATGTCCATGATAACCACTTCAGTACACAAAGACCCTGGAATAGTAAGACAATTTAGAACTCTAAAGCTGAAGAAGTAAACACAGATACATAGACTTACGCAAAGTTACAATAATTAAGACAGGGTAGCATTAGCACAAAGAGAGAGAACTGAACAAATGGAATAGAACAGTCCAGAAACATACATGCAGTCACCTGATTTATACAAAATATTCCACTGCAACAAAGTGGGGAAGAAGTGGTCTTGAGTAAATGCTTTTGTTGATTTAGATATGCTTCTGAAAAATATTAAACTTGATCCTATGTTTTATCACATCATAATAATTCATTTGAGATTGCTCATAACTACATGTTAAAGGCTAAAGAGATACATTTCTAAAAGAAAACATAGGAGGAATATCTTTATGTCCTTGATAGTAATTTCCTTAATATACAGGAAGGGCAAATCCTGATATACATATTATATCTTTGAAACCAACATACAGATCAAGATATGGAATATATGTAGTGTTCTAGCAGTTTACTTATTCCTTCCCAATTGAAAAACAGAACAGTTTTTAAAAGGTAAGAGAGAATAAGACTTGAAGAATGTCTAAGTTATAAACCACATGAAAAATATATTTTCAAGATCATTACTCATCAAGATGCAAATTGAAGCTACAATGTGATACTACAACTTCAAGAAATGGGCAATAGTTAAAAAGACTGAAAGTGTTAAAAATGTTGGATCTGTACCAATGGAATTATCAGTATTGTTGGTGGTAATATAAAGTGTTTCATTCACTTTTTAAAGTATTTGACCATATTTACACTAAAAAAAGCTGAATATGTGCAATTCCAGCACTATATCGAAAACAAATAACTACCCATGTCTTCCAGAAAATATACACAAGCTCATAGCAGCTTTATTCAAAATAGTTGAAGAATCAACCACAAAGTCCATCGACTATAAAGTGGATATATAAGACTGTGTCAATTTTATTTAATGGAATTCTAACCAGAAATGAAAAACAGCATGCTACTATTATATATAGCAAGCATGCATTTCACTTTTCAAAAATAAGCCACAGGCAAGAATTTATTGTATGAATCCATTTATTTAAAATTCGTAAGTAGAAAAAACTATAATGGTAGAGGTCAGAGTAGTGGTTACTTTTGTAGAGAGGTTTGAGTGGGAAAGGGCATGAAGATTTCTGAGATACTTCTTGACAGTAAGAAGATAAAGATGTCACGGTAAAACCTGACAGTTGATCACATTACTGGTTAGCATCAGCCACAATGTACAGCCTCAGTTCTACCTTTCACAATTCCTGAAAGTGGGTAGAATATGTTTTTAGCCAGAATCCTGGCTGTAGGTACAGAATATCTAGTGTTTACTGACTTCCTCTTTTTATTTTTCAAAGATGACAGGCAAGCATCAGTGTTGCTCACAATAATGAA